ATCTATCTATCTATCTATCTATCTATCTATCTATCTATCTATCTATCTATCTATCTATCTATCTATCTATCTATCTATCTATCTATCTATCTATCATCTATCTATGTATCTCTGTTGTGGTGCTTGAACTCTGGGTCTGGGTGCTGTCCCTGAGCTCTTCAGCTCAAGGCTAGCACTGTATCACTTGAGCCAATGTACCACTTCTGGTTTTCTGGTGGTTTTATTGGAGATAAGAGTTTCATGGCCTTTCTTGTCCGGGCTTGCTTGGTGATCCTCAGATCTCAGCCTCCTGAGTAGCTGAATAGCTACTGGCACCCGGCTAGGCAAGCACTATTTATAGCACTAACTACAATACAAGCCCTCTTTTCTTTTTAATTCTGATCAGATATCTCAAACTGCTTTTCATAAATAAATAAATAAATCACAAACTGCTTTTCATAAATAAATAGCATACACATTAATATACTGCTGAACCAAATTACAAAAGAGACTCAGAGACAAAGGTATAGTAGAGGGTGCATAATTTTGAAATATATTTTGAAAGGGTATAAATTTGATTGAAAGAGATGGTTTGCAACTATGAAAGTTGAACAAGGAAGTATGTTGAAATTGTTTTGGGATGGTAGGAAGGGGAGAAGGGGGAAAGGAAATTGATATAAGGGGTGAGATTGATTGGGACATATTTTAAACATGTCTGGAAATATAGCAATAACTAATAACTAATGCAAACTAAAACAAAAATTTAAACTTATTCACTCTTTTTGTTTCTTTTTCTTGTCTCCATTTCTGTATCTTTCTAAGTAGTCTTTTAGTTAGATTCATGTCCATTTCCCTTTTTTTACCAGCTACCCCAAAAGATAGCACCTAGCTATTTATGCTGCATTTGGGAACTTGGAGAAATTCTTTATGGGTCACCTGACCAACTGAGAACGAAAATCTAATAACACTGATGTTGGGATTTCTCAGTAAATGACTTAACCATATCCTCCTCTAGAGAAGGCCACAATTGTAAACCTTTGCTCTCAAACTCAGAATCTGGGTGAAAAAGAAAACATTAGAAATGAAAAGATACACAAGTAGAAATAAAAATAGTTTAATAAAAGCATTGAAAATGAAGATGGAAGAAACATTCTAGAAATCAGTGTGAAAGACAGGAAAATAAGACAGGAAAATAAGAGAGAACAGTTAGAAAACCTAAAGACTAATATGAACAATAGAAATAATGAAAGAATAATGAAAAGAAAACAGATAAATGTCAGTGAGGTTACTGAACGCCTCAGAACTAAAGAATATGAGTTGAAAGGTTGAACTGGCCCCTTGATTGCTCACCACTCTGGAAAGAGACCCACTTAAGGTTTAGTAGCATGCAATTTCAGAAATATACACAAAGAGAAGATTTTATGGTTTCAAAAGAAAAAGAAAAGAGAAATAGGTCCAGTGCCAAAGATCAGGTAATCAAAATGGCCTCAAACATGGAATTGTAGAACACATGATGGTATCTTTTCTGGGGATAGCAACTGAGTAGGAGGGAGATGTTTTCATCTCTCTCTTTTTTTTTTTTTTGTCGGTCTTGGGGCTTGAACTCTGGGCTTGGGCGCTGTCCCTGCGCTCTTCAGCTCAAGGTGAGCTCACTACCTTTTGAGCCATGGTGCCACTTCTGGCTTTTTCTGCTTATGTGGTGCTGAGGAATTGAACTCAGGGCCTCATGCATACAAGGCAAGCACTCTACCATCCCAGCCCTATTTTTCAATTTTGAATCTTATGTATGATCTATGCAATTTTAAAATTATAGTACAAACGATTGATTTTTTATTTTTTGGTTGGTTATAAGGCTTGAATTCAGGGTCTGGGTGCAGTCCTTCAGCTCTTTTGCTCAAGGCTAGTGCTCTACCACTTTGAGCCACAGTGGTACTTCTAGTTTTCTGGTGGTTAATTGGAGATAAGAGTCTTATAAGCCGGGTGCCTGTGGCTCATGCCTGTAATCCTAGCTACTCAGGAGGTTGAGATATGAGGATCACGGTTCAAAGCCAGCCCGGGCAGGAAAGTGCTTGAGACTCTTATATCCAATAAGCCACTAGAAAACCGGAAGTGGCACTGTGGCTTAAGTGGTAGAGCACTCGCCTTGAGCTGAAGAGTGCAGGGACAGTGCCTAAGCACAGAGTTCAAGTCCCACGACTGACAAAAAAAAAAAAAAAAGGTCTTACAGTTTTTTGCTGGCTTTACACCGTAATCCTCAGATCTTAGCCTCCTGAGTAGCTAATATTACAGGCATGAATCACTGGCACTTGGCTCAATTGATTTTTTTAAAAATCAGTTGTGGGACTTGAACTCTGGGCCTGGGTGCTGTCCCTCAGACCTTCAGCTCAAGGCTGGTGCTCTACCACTTGAGCCACAGCACCACTTCTGGTTTTCTGGTGAGTTATTGGAGATAAAATTCTCATAGACTTTACAGCTTGAGTTAGCTTTGAACAACAATCCTCAGACCAGCACCTGGCTGATTTTTTTAAAAGTATATTTGTACATATTTCTTCATTTTGTTTTCACAACAACATAACTTAGAGATGTTTTTAGTTACTGAGGGATCAAAGAATGAGAGTTTTAACCATGAGGTGGGTAATAGAGCCAGACCAGGAAGCTTTTCCTTACTTTTTTTCGAGATGCTCATCTAGAGCATCATTAGCAGTATGTTGAGAAGTGTTGGTTACTGTTGATGTATTAATAGGGTAAAAAGTGAGCCGGCGCACTCGCCTTTGAGCTGAAGAACACAGGGACAGCGCCCAAGCCCAGAGTTCAAGCCCCCTGACCGACCAAAAA